CCATGGGTCTTCTGATGACACTGGACCCCGTCACCCAGCCCCTGGTGGTTCTGATGATGACATGAGCACGCCCCCCCCCACCTGTACCTGGATGCCCTTCAGGTTCATTCTGCGCTTGGGTGGGTGGCAGGGCAGGAAGTACTTGTTGTCCTCGGGCGAGTCCTCGGACGTGGAAGAGTCATCGGCCTCCTGACCGTTGGTTCTGGGGCTGACCTCCCCGAGGCTCTGAGCGATGATGGTCACAGGCAGGTTCCGGGGCAGGCTCTGGGGGATGGGGTGTGGGTGTGGGGTGAGCCGAGGCCACTCAGCACACAGCGCGGCATCTCTGGGGTACCCACCCTGCCCACCACGGCCCTGCCTCCTCACAGGGAAGGGTGCTACCACTCCAGGACCAGCACACAGCCAGGTGGCTCTGGGCCATCCGCCCAGCTCTGCCACGTCTGTCCCTCACTGCCCTGCCCCCCACGGCTCTGGTCCCAGACGCTGACTGCTGTCAAGTTCACATGCTGCCTGGCTCCCGCAGGGGCCAGAGAACTGGGTGCCTCAGGGGTGCCAGCGGCTGGGATGGGCAGTTGCCAGACCACGTGCGCATCCTAAGCCTGACCCAACCACACCACCGTGCGGATCACTAGCCCCGCCCACGCTAAAGACAGAAGAAACAAAGGGGGTCAAAGAGAAAACTGGGAAGTCCGCAAGGGAAAGGGAAAACTCAACCAGGAGGACAGGGGGTGACAGCCATCCCTTCCTGACAAGCACCTCACTCTTTCTGAAATAACGCACCTGCCGCGCTGTGCCCCTGCCCGCCGGTGCCCCTGCGTGCCTTCTGGGGATGTGAACACAACTGATTTATGTGGGTGCGTTTTATGGAGGAATGTGATACGGGTTTCTTGCGTTCCATTAATGACCACATCTCCCTGGGCACGGCGGCCCAGGCAGGTAGGTGCGAGCGGTGTTCCACCTGCCCTCCTAACTTCCAGGCACGTGGGTCTGTGGGCCAGTCTGGACGTGGAGGGAAGGGCCCCGGCCTGGGAACTGCCTGCTGCCGGCTGACAGTCCCTTGTATCTGTGTTGCCTGTACCACCTGTCTGAGTGTTCCTATCACCTCTGTGTGACCAGTCCATCTGGTCGGGTGTCCTCCCCCACTTGTGAGTGGCCCACGTGGCCCATCAACCCCGCTCCCCGCGAATTCTCCAAGGCTCAGTCCACCTGGCTGAGCACCCCATGCTCCCCCACCCTGTGCTCATACCACCTGGAGGAAGGGCCTTCCATCTGTGTGCAGCCGCCCATCTGGTCTGGCATCCTCCCCCACCTATGCACAGCCCACTTGCCTGAGCATCCTTCCCCCGTGAGAGACCCACCTGCTTGACGGCCCCCATCCATGAGAAACCCACAGGCCTGAATGTCCACCCCCTATCTGTGCACCGCCTACTTGCTCCGCCCACCTGGCCACGTGTGCTCCCACCAGTGTGCTGCTGCCCACCTGGCTGAGCACCCGCTGGCCAGCATGATTGCCCACCTAGTCAAGCACCCCCCACTCCGCCCACCTGCCTGAGTGTCCCTCTCCACCTGTGCACACACACGTCCCCTGCCCCTTGAAAGCCCACCTGGTCGAGGGTGCCGTCCCGGGCCAGCCGTCGAAGCTTGCTCTCCAGAGTGACCACGCAGGCCTCGCGCCGCACCAGCTCGATGCGCATCTCGTCGTTCTTCTCCTCCAGCTCCCGGATCTGCTTCCGGTACTTGTCCTTCTCCACCAGGCACTGCGAGTACTG